CCTCCCAAGTAGCTGGGACTACAGGCACCTGCCACAATGCCCAGCTATTTTTTGGTTGCAGCTGTCATTGTAGTTTGGCGGGCCCGGGCTGGATTTGAACCCACCAGCTCGGGTGTATGTGGCTGGTGCCTTAGCCTCTTGAGCCACAGGCGTCAAGCCGAATACAGAGTTTTCTCCCAGAAACTTTTACAGCATTAGGAAATACCCCCAGCTTCAGAGTAGGATATACCCTCCCCCATGTTGCCCTGTTTTTCTTTTTCTTTTCTTTTCTTTCTTTCTTTATTTAATTATTATTATTATTTTAGAGACAGAGTCTCACTTTATTGCCCTTGGTAGAGTGCCATGGTGTCACAGTTCACAGCAACCTCAGACTCTTGAGCTCAAGTGATTCTATTGCCTCAGCCTCCAGAGTAGCTGGGATTATAGGCGCCCACCACAACGCCCGGCTATTCTTTTGTTGCAGTTTGGCTGGGGCTGGGTTTGAACCCACCACCCACTGAGTCACAGACACCGCCTTTGTTTATTTATTTTTTGAGACAGAGTCTTACTATGTCACCCACAGTTGTGCTGTGGGATCACAGCTCACAGCAACCTCAAGGTCTTGGACTTAAATGATCTTCTTGCCTCAGCCGCCCAAGTAGCTGGGACTACAGGTGCCCATCACAACATCCAGCTATTTTTAGAGATAGGGTCTCTCTCTAGCTGAGGCTGATCTCCAACTCATGAGACCACCTGCTTCAGCCTCTCAAGTGCTGGGATTACAGATGAAGAGGGTCCAGCCACCTGTTACTGTCCAGCCAATATGCAGAGACAGGGTTTAGGTCCAAACAAGCTTTGTTTGTTAGAATGCCAGTGATTCTGGAGAACAGTGAGAGTAGCCTCTCAATTCTGTTCTGCCTCAGTTACAATTCTAGTAACTTTCATAATGAAATACAAGGAAACCAACCTAAAAAATTTTAACTTTATATAATGGGAGGTAACATCAAAACAGTCTTCATTCTAACAATGCAAAATGTTTTTCTTTTTTTTTTT